TAGATAAATAAATAAAATGCACCAGGAACTATTCTAAGTGCTTCATGTAGATTACTTCATCTAACTCTTCCGCAGGCCAGGTCTAGGAGGTCAGCATTACTGTTATTCCCATTTTATAGACAGAAAACTGAGGCAAGGGGTTACCCGGCTGAGCTTCTCGCCCAGGCAGCCTGATTTCAGAGCCTGCACATTTAACCATTCACTTCTCTCCTAGAACCTTCCAAATAAACAGAGTAAACTGCCTTCATCCAACCTTTCGGTTCTCCTCATACAATGATCATCCTGTGACTGGTTACTGAGTGTGGGTCACGTACAGGAACGGACCTAGAACGGACGCCCAAGTGTGTCACTCGGTGGATAAGGGCAGCTGCAGACCTGGGTGTGAGAATCAGCTCTACCTTTCCGGCTGTGAACCTGAGCGGGCTACGTAAGCCCTTTATGCCACAGTGTCCTCATCTACGAGGACAGTAATGACACCTCAGAGAGTGAGGATGAAAGCGATATAAAATTATTGAGCAGAGTGTGGCACACAAATACCACTATTTTCATATAGCCCCCGCTCTGGAGAAACTGGCATTCCTTCCTGGAAGGAAGAAAATCATGTAAATAATTACAGACGAGTATAGAAAGTTCTATAAAAGAGAATTAGGTTGGGAGCACCTTGGGCGCTCAGTTGGTTGAGCGTCTGACCCTTGGTCTCGGCTCAGGTCATGATCTCAGGGTCGTGAGATCGAGCCCGACGTTGGGCTCCGTGCTCAGCGGGGAGTCTGCTTGGGATTCTCTCCCTCCTTCTTGCTGTGCCCTGCCCCCCGCTCCCATGCAAGCACATGTGTGCTCTCTCTCTCAAATAAATAAATAAATCTTAAAAAAAAAAAAAAGAATTATGTTGGAGCCCGGGGGCCAGGGGTACTGAGAGGGGTAATGAGGAGAGAATGAGGGAATGGGGAATTAAGGTGAAGAGAGGTTTCTAATTAAAGCTGAGCCCTAGACCTAAAGTTTCAAAAGTTTATTTTGTATATTGTGCTTCATGCAAATGAAGACACTGTCATTTGCAGACTAAATTACATTTATTGAGTACCTTTTATGTGCCAGGCACTGCAGGAGGACAGTCTCACCTGCTCTCTATCATTTAGTGTTTACAACACTCTGAGGGGCAGTGCAGTTGGTTTTGACGAGAGTGCAGTAGTTTTCCACATCTGAGTAGGGGTAACCGTTGTCGCTCAGATGACGGGCGGTCTCCCTGCAAGGCCCTGCGTGGCCCCTAGACAAGTCTGTATTTGGGTGACCCTAAAAGTCATGGTGCAAAACAGAGGACTTAATACACTGTAAATTAGAAGAAATTAATGTGAATTTTTACACCTGATGAAGCGTAGGTTTTACGCATCTTTTTCTCGTTGCTTCTAGCTCTAATCTTTCTCCTGCCCTCCAAACATCGAAGGACCATTCTGCGATACTAAACCTACTGGTGCTTCGCATCCGGAACTGAAGGCCTGCTTCTGCCCTTGGTTCCCCTATCGCAGTTAACCGAGTGCCTAACCTGGTTTCCAAGAGAGAAATGTGGGGGTTGCTTTCGACTGAGCCACCAAGTCCTGTGTGTGGGCACGTCCTACATGCCTCCTTTCTCTCTCTGCAGGCTCGCTGCTCGTGTAGACCCCCCACGCCCGACCGACTGTAACTGTCTTCCTCCCGGCTCTTTGTTTCTACTCTTTTCTCTCCATCTCTCCACCATCCACAAGCCAGTGCCACTTGCCACTCTTTTAAGACACAAGTATGATCATTCCTCTACTTGAAACTCGCAATGGCTCCCGAGTGTCAACAGACGAAGGTCAAGGGCATCAGCACGGCATATTTGGGCTTTCACTACCTGGCCCCATCCTACCTTTGTATCATCATCCGCTATCAATGCTGGCCAGACGGCCGTTCCAGCGGCCTTGGACCACTCGCCCAGTCCTACAGCTTTGGACCTAATCCTCCCAATGCTGGTACTTCCCAGGGCCCATCTTCAAATACACAAGTGCAGAATTCCCATCCACTTATATGTATCCAATTATATTATGATTTCTCAGATCCATTTTATAGAACAATTCCTATAAGATTATTGTAATATTTCCTGTTTTCTCCTCTGGACTTCCACCAAATTTTAAAAGGACTGTGGCTAAGAAATAATAAAGAATAGAAGGGCACCTAAATTTGGATGACTTTGCACTGACGGTTCCATCACCTAAGGGAGTCAATCCATACACCCCTCCTGATCCCTGCCCAGGGACCTTGGAAGCGGGCTCATTAACGCCAGTGAGCACTATGTGTGGACACAATGGCCTCACCCGATGAAGGGGTTCATTGCACAGCCCTCTAGGTGCGGTTACAGTTTCTGCTGAACAGGTGAATCAAATGGCATATCAGCTGGATAATGTAAAGATAATTATCTCTATTTTTTGCTTTTAGAAGCACGTTATTCTTCGGTCAAAGATAATCAGCACCTAACTGAGTTTTCATGGACAATTCTGAATGTGCTTTGTTACATTTAACAGCTCTTGTTAGCAAAAATAATCATGAATAAAAAGCAATTTATTTTTATTTGGCATGTAAACAAAATTATAATGCTGATATCGGTAAAATTCTATTCTGTTTTCATTAATGTACATAAGGCCTTTATCAGATCTTCCTCAGTTTATCTCTGAAGTATATTTGGAGCTTAAAAATAAAGGAGAAAGTTCAGTTATTAGCACTAGAGTGACCCATTTAGGAGATGATTTACACAATTCAAATGATTGCTCCTGATACATTAATGTCTATCAGAAAAGAACCCTTAGAAAGTTCAAGAAAAATATAAAAGTATTATGAAAACTGCTTAAGACTGAATGTACTTTGTGTTGTGGAATAATTCACCTCTGTTTCCAAATGTGTGATCTACCTGGGTTTTGAAAGCAGGGCCTTAGTTGCAATAAGCATATGATATAATCAAGTCAGCAGACTGGCCTGGGGTAGAACATTATCATCATTAATGATTTTTTTAAAATTAAGTTTTGAGTTGAGAAGAACTGCTTCATAATTTTAGCATGTGTTCAAAGGTAAAAAACAAAAACAAGAAAACCCTTTCACACTAAGGACTGGATAAAAGTTCAAATGACTTTCTAGCCTAAGAAAGTTGCCTCCCTTTAGTAAAGACCCAACGTGGATACATGCTAGCAAACTGCCTTTCTGCAATTTGAAAGGGAACACTTTTTTTTAAAAAATAGCAATTATTTTTTATTTAAAGTTTAAAAGGTAGGTCCGAACTCCAATCCCATATAGGCTTGTGGGTGTTCTCAGCAGGATTCTCATCCTATGCAAACTGATAATGATAGATCACTCACTCTTGTTTATTTTAAGAACTCCCCCAACAAGACGGGGTTTGCATCAATGTACTTAGATAAAGATATTGTAAATAGAGTACGTAGTTACAAAGATGGCATATTCTTAAAGACATCAGTTTATGGTCAGATGGCTATAAAATGGCTAGTTGGATGGATATCTTCGATGTCATCCAACATCTGGGACTGCAACAACTTTCTAGCTATGATATTAAAATAGAAAAACCGTTGCAGAGCATTAACCTATCATTACACAGAGTAAATGGCATGGCACTGCAACCTAATTGCAGTGTGGCTTGCATCTATAAAATAGAATTAGCACTACTGCTCTTTTTTTATTATTAGTTTGTGTTTCTAGAAAGGTGTGACCTTATCTGTAAGGTTCTGTTCATTTATGCCCATTTACAAAGGATTCAATTATGTTCTTTTAGCTCTCTACGCTGAGGAAATTGAAAACGGCCACTTCAGAATTAAAACTGTTAAAGAAATTAGCAGATTATTTACTCCATCACCCTTCTTCGTGCAGGGATAAAGAATGGAGGCACATTCAAATAAAGAAGGTAGAAGATTTTGGGAAGAGAAAATTCTAGGCAAGGAAATTATTAATGGTCTTCCTTTCCTCATTCTCACATGTCTTTTGCAAGTTCCCCTAGTGTTCTTGGGAGGAACCAGCTAAGGGGAAAGTGTATTAGTGCTATAAAATTCCTGCAAGTGACATCAAGTTTCGTGTCAGTAGCCAGAGAACATGGACTTACATCGGAGGCAGGCGACTCCAGGACAATGCCGAATCCCAGCACGCGGTTCTCCCCTGCTGAGGGAGGCTCGGCCGCCTGGGGGCCAGGCTGCTCCGAGGCCCCGGCTGTCTTCTTCTCCGTTTCTACCACGCCAGGCTTCTGCCTCACAGTGAGAGGTTCAACGGTCTTTGAGGGCACTTTTTTCTTTTTATTTCTCTTGCGTGAGACAGCAGTTCGCTGGGAGCATATAAGGGAAATCGGGGGTTGTTGTCTGTTTGGGGTTCCAACTGTGAAGAATGAACAAAAATAGGGTACAGGCACCTGAGTCTCACTTGGGAGAAGTTATCACCCATCAATCTACATGTTCCACAAGCTGAGACCGAAATGGGATTCGGTCAAGGAAGCAGACCAAAATCAATCTCCTGTGGGACCTGTAGGACACCAAATGTCTTCTCTGGAGCACTTTCGAGTTCTACATGCAGAAGAGCAACCCAGAGAAAACTCTGTCCCCGATGCTGGTAAATCATCACACTTACTGCTACCACCGGGTTCTGTGGAAGAAAGGGATTTTGAGCCACAGAAAAACATCTGAGGGTGATCTTACAAGTTGCAGGACATTTTTATATAAATGGGAACTCAGAACTTAAGTTCAGGTGTAGCTGTCCGTGCTTCCTGGTAAGCCAAACTCAGGAATATTCTAATCATCCTTTGAGGGTAAACTGATCAGCTGCTAGCTAGCTACAGGCACCAAAATGGACTAAGACTGAGCAATGATGACCATTTTTTTAAAGAATGAGTCTGGAATGACTAGCACACCCGTGGGCAAAGCCTGCTGCCCATTTATCAGGGCCAGTTACTCCTTCCTCACAAACCCATACTGTCCACACACAAACCATCTCCACAGCACTGCACTCAGTACTGCATTCTGACGAGGCTGTCCTCCATACCTTGGTTTTAGGTAGCTGAAAAATAGGAATGACATAGTTCTGTGCAAGTCAAGAAGACCAGCAAAATCCGGAAACAGGTGGAGTTCCAAAGATGAAAAGCACTGAACAAAGACCAAGTATCAGTACTGAATCTACACTTAAGGAAACCAAGGATAGTAAGTATAGTTTTCACAGATGTACTTTGGCAAGTCATGTTTGTTAACCATTTAGAAATATTCTGATGGAAAGTGTTAGAGAAAAATATGGCATCATTATTTAAATCTTCATGTATCAATATGGCTTACTAAATATGATCATAGGATATGCCTGCTTTTTTACACAAAGAAGTCAAATGAAAACTAAAGATCTTTAAATGCATATAAATATGGATCATTTCCTATCAGTTTGCAAATAAAGGATATTTATACTTTGAACTTGGTATTTGCATCACTACACTGGCAAGAAATTTACAAGTATTAGAAACGAACTACTTGGGGCGCCTGGCTGGCTCAGCTGGAGGAGCATGTGACTCTTGATCTTGGGGTTGTAAATTCGAGCCCCACGTTGGGTGCAGAGATTACTTAAAAAAAAAAAAAAGAAAAGAAAACAACTACTTGCACTGCATAGGAGCACTGAAAAGGTTTTTAACCACCTGTGCAGTTATTAGTCTAGTTTATTGGTGCTTGACCTTGGTGGCACGTTAGAATCACCCGGGAGCTTTTTAAAAAAGAAGTCTGTGCCTCAGCCTTACCCCAGACTAACTGAATTGGAATTTGTAGGGGTGGCGCCCAGGCACTGAGATCTTTTTCAAAGCTCCTCAAGTGATTCCAGTGTATAAGCCTGAGTGGAGAATTTTTCTTCTTCTCTGGATTTTCACACAAGGCCAGGTCTCCATGCCCAAAGTCAAACAGACAAGGGAAGCAGTTTTCAATGGTCTAGAACTCACACCTCTCCAAGCTTTGCTATTCTAAAGTAAAAGTGAAAATGCTTTGGGTTTAAAGAACACAGGGACTATGTGAGTTTTTCTCCTCCATTGGCAAGTCTAGACACAGCAGTCCTCTCTTGCTTCCAGATCTTATGGCTTCATCGTATTCCTTGTCTTCTTCCTCAAGTAAAGGTGAAACTTTCTAAATATAATTTAAATCTACGTGTTACAGGCAATAAGCCTTAAGTCAGTCTACCCACACAACACAGATTCTTAAGTTTAAGGAAATTAAAGAAGAGTAATTTTTTCGGTTTATCCTTTCTGCTCTCCTACAAACTCTGGAATCATTTACCGGCCTAATCTGCAAAGGTTCAGAAAAGAAAACACGGTGACAAAGTGGCATTTACTTAATAGATTCCAAAAGGGCTTCAGTCAAGGATTTAAATGGCTGCAATTTGTAGTTTGCCATTTCGGTAGTAAGGAGCTTAAGTAACAAAATAAATCATTAGAATTTCATATGCGTATTTTCTTAAGTGCTAACAAATTCTTCCTGCAAGAAAAGAATCTGTACATCATGAAGGAGACTTTCTTTCTGTGCTCCTCATTTAAGAGATGTTAACTTTTGCCAGGTCAATAAGAACACGGGTTGCTCTGGTGGAACAAGATTAGTGAACGCTTACTGGCCTCACCAAAATGCTTATTGTTTCCTTGGGCTAAAAAATTCAGCACATACAATTAGATGTTGCTTTTCAGAGGGCCTTTTGTTCACCTTCCTTTCCTGCGCTCTTGGGTGATGGTATGTCTATGTATTAAGCTTTTTATATCAAAACCACATCACTGAATATTACAATTTTGCTAGAATTCACTAAATGGCACCAAGTACGATTTCTGAATGATGACCTTCCTGAATCTCTTTACAGTGCAGGATGGGCCACATATGACTGTGCTATTTCCTGCTCAAGGAGCAGTCTTCCCTCACCAGAGGAGGCCTTATTGAAATGATTTATTATTTTCTGGACCTGTGACCAAAAAGTTGCATTTCTGAGTTGAGATTAGACACCACACCCGCTGTGGTGGTGACCCAGACTTCTATGAACCTGCTCCTGGTCTTCAGAACAACACTAAGGAAATAGTTTCTGCCTGTATCATGCTTTACAGAGTTCATTTACATTGACTAACTCATTCTGTTTTGAAAACCATCCTGTGAATTAGATCTTAATGCTCCAGCTCCAGATGAGAAATCTGAGCACAGAGAAGTCATACAGCCTCATGAGGGGAACAGGGACTCTGACCCCAACCTGCAGACTCACCGCTCTTCCATCCTTCCACTTGACTAACACGAGTGAGAACAAAAGAGGCATCATGTAACTAAGGAAGACAGGACACGCAGTGTCTTCGGGCTTCTATATGCTGAATATTAGGGAGACAAGCCGCAAGCAGGGCCTAAGAGGCAGCACCTCATGTGCTTACGCTCTTGAAAGTCTTCGCCAGGACAGTCCATGCTCCCGAGAGGGCCCTGCAGCACCTGTACGACAATGCGCGGCTTCCCTACTGTCACGCTGCACCCCACAAGGGGCAGGGACGGGAGCAGGGGTTGTTGACGTGCACGCAGCCCCCAAACGGAGCACCTCAGGAGGTAAGAGGAGTCAGCCACACTTCTGTCCTGAAGTGACCTTCGCTGTCCACTCACATTGGGAAAGTGAGCTGAAGAACTACGCCCACCTTCACGTATGACTGTTCCAAAATTCAGTTAACTGACACGCGTCAAGGACTCGGAGATGAGGGGGTGAACTTTGTGGAGCATGCGCACGCGAGTATATGGGTAGTAGTATCAGCAATGAGAAACCTGTTAGATTTGCTGAAGGAAAAACGTGTTGAAAATGCACAGTGAGACAGCAAGGTGAGAAGAACCAAATACAATAAACGTCCCAACTGAAGAGGCCAAAGGCATTAAAAGTCAGGGGCCTGGTGTCACTACCTGCTTGAATTTGCATTAATTTCCGCATGGTCCTGAGTTCTTGGAGGATGGCTTGCAACGTTGACTGGCAGTTGCAAGTACAGCAGTTGGATCCAACGGACGAATTCACGGCGGGAATTTCTCCTAAGCATCAAAGAAAAGAATGGCACACTCCAAACGTCAACAACAAAATTATAAAGGGGGTGGGGGGGACAGGAAGGTATCTTGACAGCACGTGCGGTTATTATGACACAGTGCCTAAGGAAAATGTACCCGATACCTGTTACCACCTGAATGTCGGGGGCCGACTTGATCTAATTATCCAGGCTTCTGCGCCGTAAGGTGCGTGCGTCTCGCAGGGCGCTGGAGGCCGCATGGACGTGTGCCCACACTCACGGTCACAGCAGGCCTCCCTAGTGTCACTCCAGTGCATCTCAGGTGACAGCACCATAAAAGTTCACTAGAAACACACACTCTGTTGCAGAAAAACATGAACCCTGAGAACGGCCTTCCAGAAAAACCCGGTGGCCGCACATTCTAAAATCTCACGTTAAAAATCAAATGTGTCTAACTATTAAAAAAAAATAGTTTTTCTAGTATTTCCCCAAATTAAGAACTGTCAAGACATTAAAACTTTTAGAACACTCTGGGGGTGGGATGTCTGGGGCGGGGAAGAGCCCGGTGGGGGCAGAGTACATGGGAGGCTATATTCGGTGTGCTGGCTTTTCTGCACCTTAGTCAAGGAGACCCTCACACCTCTTTTCTCCCTCCCTATGTCTTACGTTTCCCTCGCTCTAGCCTCCTTATCTGTTTCAATTTAGTATCTTTTCCTTAGTAAAACCATCCTATTAAAGTAAACACAGGTTGTCCCCTTGTCCTTGGGATACAGTGGAACATTTGGAAAATCCCTCTTCCTGCAGCGTTCCCTCTGGCGTCTGTGTCCAACCCGACACTGGGAACTGGAATATGCTGTCACTTAGGTTGTCCCCAGGCACAAGGGGAAAGTTCGAAGGCATGGATCCAACTGCATCTTTTGTTATACATTAAGTGTAATTGTAATTCCACAGTATGCATTGTTTGTGGATACTATAAAAATTTCACCACGGCAAAATCATAAAATATGTACGGACAACTTAATGCTTGGAGTAGCGTAATTATTTACACTCAAAGTTGCAGCAAACTGAGATGTTACAACTTTTAAAACTGCAAATAATTTCAATGAAATTCAAAGTAGTCACAGTTGTATATGATGAATTTCTACTGAAAATAAGCAAACAATAATCACAAAAAATCTGTTTTCAAACCAATATGGGGGAATTTATGTTTGTAACTTTTAACGTTAATAACATTTTCCCAAGTAAATCCACCATCCTTGTTGCATACTGGAAAACAGAATGCTCTTCACCCAAAACTTATTGATGTGGGGTGAACTAACTTCATACACACCTGGGGGTGTCCTAGTTCTCTTGCCGTTTCTTCCGTGGCAGCTGAATTAGGAGGGCCTTAAAGAATATTCCTAGTCACTATTCTAAGTACTGTCTTTGTCATTTTTAGAGGACAAAACCAACCCTTTCCAACTGGTTATAAATCATTTTCTAATTTTAAGGAGAACTGACTTCTCATTTTTATGGAGGAGTCTTTAAAGAGCCATGTCCCCCTAACCTGGAAGCATGCCAGCACATGAATGTGATCTGGCTTATGCAATATTGAGAGAAAGAGAAGACTCCCATACGTCTCTTGGGGTCCCTCCTGTCTCATCAGCAGTGTCTCAGGATGGCTTTTCATGCTTCTGAACTGGTTACTGCAAATTGTGTTTAAAAAAAAAAAAATCAAAACAGTTCTCTTCTTCTTGAAGGAATAATGGATGGAAAAAGAAAATCCTTAACTTTTCAAGGAAACTGAAAATGCAGTCTTGCTTTTTCTTGTTCTCTTTCTGAAAACTAAAGATCTGCACATCCATATATAATTAATGGACAACTAACATCCAAGGTTACTGGATAGTAAGTTAACATGTCCAGAAAAAAATTATCCAATTTTTTTAAGCTTTGAAAAAAAAATTGCCTTTTAATTTTTTTTTCTGAACAGTTAGGAATTTAAATTAAGGAAACTTTACTCTAAAGGGATAATTTTCAGCCCTAATGAAGCAAGCCCTACCACAAGGATCATCTGCTGCAGCTACTGGAATGTGCCATAAAAGCAACGGTGTCACTGGGATGCTGGGATATGTGTCCCCCCCACCACGCCCCCCATTCACCACAACCCTTGTGATCATGAAGAAAAGCAAAAAAGTAAGCAAGAGGATGTATTAATGATACACATATGACCAGAAGCTCCCTTTGATGACAAAGGGGAGCTCCTTCTGCCTTAATGTTCAGTCTCTTGTGACAAAAGTATCGGTGTGTTGGCAAATGATAGCTTTCACTTTCTAAAGGGCTAAAATCTCTACTAAGAAATCATTATTTCTAATATAGAGCCTTAGTCTTGCTTCTCAATTCTGATTTTTATACTCTTTGTGTTACTCAGCCAAGGCAGGGGACTAGGGGAGGGTTTAGTGTTTGGGTTTGAACTCAAAACCATGGTGAACACTTAGAAGTAAAACACATTTGGACACCGCCCCCCACCACCCCCATGAGCGTTCTCAATGTCTCATCATGACCATACCGTTGGAGCTCCCAGTGCTGTGGGGCTGACTCTGGAAGGTTCTAGAGCGGGTGCCATACTGCCCTGAGAACTGCCCGCTGGGGGGTGGTAACTCATTCCACGCACCACGTGAAGAAGGGTGGAGGCTCTGTGGGGCCTCAGCAGAGGAGTTCAAACGCGGAGGCCAGACTGAATCCAAATCCTGGGGTTCTTCTTTTAATTTTTCTCCTTCTTTGCCCACACGCTGATAGATCCTCCCAGTGCTGTCATTCAGTAATCTTCTCATTCCTGTGATTTGTTTTTTAATTTCCATGCTTTCATCTCCTAATGGAAACGGGCCAAAGAGATCACTGTGCATAAGCAGAAGAAAAAATAATCCACCGCCAAAAAACACACCCATTCTTTGGAAATGGGAAAGATTCCTGAGTCCACACTCAAGCTTTCAGAAACTTAAGTAATCTATAAAAATTAAAGGCACGAAAACTGGCTATGGTCTGAAGAAACCCATCATATTCCTGGTGCATCTCATTTTAACTTTCTGGCTAAATTCTCTTAGGATAAAAGAACTTTTCTGAGCGGGTTTCATCTCTTAAGGTGTGAAGAACACACCTTAAATTCCATCTGAGTGAGGGTGTCATAAGAAAAGGAGCTGAGGCAAAAGACCCCCCATGATGGGACTACAGGGCTGAAAGCCTGGGCTTGGATCTGCCGCAGATGTTCACTTGGGCTGGATGTGGAGGCCAGCCGGCCTGCTCACCAACCTGGCCGGCAGGTCCAAGTACCAGGAAGAATATGTGGCAGGGGCTGGGATGTAGAGCTTTCTGAGGATGGGCTGTTGGTACAGGAAGCACCTTAGCACGACACTGTTGGTGGAGGCATCAACTTCCGAAATGACAGTGTAGGAGCAGAGAGACATCCAAGGCAGTGGAGGAGAGGGCTTTGTCTTTCTCCAGCCTTGACTCACGGGGGAGATGTCCCTGCAACTACGCATCCCTGGAACTGCCCAGACCAAAGCCACTGCCATCTCCACCTTGTAACTACGTGCCTTTTTTTTCAATTATGGTTAAAAAACACATAACATAAAATTTACCATCTTAATCATTTTTTTTAAAAAGGTTTATTTGAGAGAGTGCGTGCACACACACACCGGAGCAAGTGGGGGGAGGGGCAGAGGGAGAGACTCTTCAAGCAGACTCCCCACTGAGCGGGGAGCCCGATGAGGGGCTTGATCTCATGACCTGAACCAAAACCAAGAGTTAGAAGCTTAACCAACTGAGCCACTAGGCACCTCAACATCTTAATCATTTTTAAGTGCACAGTTCAGTTAATGATATTTGCATTGCTGTGCAACAGATCTCCAGAACCTTTACAATGACTTTAAGATTCCTTTTCCATAAGGGGATTTTGTTTTTGAACTAAAGTATCTCTGTACTGCACTGGGAGTACTTAATAAATATTACTTAAAGAAAACTCTAAAATTATACAGATATAAAATATTTTCCATAAATAATAACATTAGAGGATGCTATTAGGAGCCATTTTGAACATCCTAACTTTTTACACTGTGCATCAGCAGGTGTCTTCCCAAAGATTGAGAGAAGTGGATTTTTTTCCCTCTAATCTGGGTGAAAAGTGAAAGTCTTATGCCAGGATTGTTTTCTCTCTAATCTGGGTGTTAAAATAAAAGACTCACGCAGTCACGCCATTAAATGCTTGAAATTTAAACTATGATAAAAAGAAAAGGCCTACAGAAAGTATCTACCAGGAAAAGCACAGCCCCTGCAGATAAATGCAGCACATTTAATATAATGATGTTTTAATGCACTTAGCATCGTTTAAAGCCAGATTTCTCTGTAGAATTGGTAACTGTATAATGAATCCAGGTATTTTGTGTTGCCCAGCTAGATATTTAGCTAATTAATACATGGATATATTATTGAAGATAAGGAAAATTTATATACTGCTTTGAAATAAGTATCTCCAATTTTTAAGAAGGTAATAAAAATATTAGTTCTGCCTTTAATATCTCACACGGGTGAACACAAATGACACAGATTTCCAACTTTGCAATATTGTTATATGTTGGTATCTGCCTGAGAGGAGAAATATTTTCATTCGTAATGAAACTGTTTTTACATCAAACACCTGTGAAAATGACAACACAGAAACAGAAACAGTAAGTGATAGTCCAGAGTTTATGAGAATGAATGACTAAGCACGATTTAAATAATGCAGAGCCAGCAAAATCAACGACCTCCTCGGGAGGTCTACGGCAGGGGCTGTGTCTGGAAGCGCTCCGGGAGGGATCCCGAAGGCAAGCTGCACGCAAACGTGCTGTCAGTTCCAGCATCCAAACACACACTTTCCCGGCTGGTGAACAGCCCAGTCTGGGCAAGACGCTTCTTTCCTATGGGGTTTTCATCCTCCATGTTCTCCATGCAGGAAGCTGTGCACGCATCAGAGGCTGCAGCGCGCTGATCTCAGCGGGCACGGCTGGTGGCTGCCATGCCCCCTCCTCCGGGCACCCGCTCGGCCGCCTTCAGCCTGCTTCTCCAGCCAGTGCCAACCCACTTCTCCACACGTACCCTGACACCTCCAGCTAAAGGGATGCTCTCTCTTCAGAGGCTCCCTGTCTGCTCTGGAGATTGAGCTCTACGATAAAGGGCTGTCTTCAGGGGGAGAGAAAGAAAGTCACAGGATTCGGGAACCTGCTAAAAGCAAATGTGCTTTGTCACGACCTGAGTCTCTTAGTTCTGAAAATTACCAGAATGAACAGGCCACTTGAGTTTCACATGCTCTCTATGTTTGTGTGGAGGACCAGCATCCGACCTGAGTCCAGGAGAGGAGGTGGGAGTATAAAGGGAGCCTCTGGTTGGGGGCCGTCCCAGCAATGTTTAGAAACATTTCTTCCAAAGTCAAAACAAAAACCCACCAAACTACAACAAATGAGGACCCGGTGGGGCCCGAGGAAGGAGGACAGCTGGGGCCACGGCAGCCCCGACGGGCTTCACTGAGGAGACCCGTGCACAGTCTATCTGCCTGTGAGGGATCTCAAAGGACAGAAGACAGAGAACTGCAGAAGTCAGAGCTGTAGGAGTCAATGAGGGGAAATCTATGGACAAGGCTGAGGAAGGCTGACCTCAGAAAGCTCCTCAGAACAGACAGGCTGGGTGTCCCTCGATGACAACCAGATGCATGTGGGCAAATGGTGTCAGGGTAACTGAACTGTCCTTGCTTTGGCCAGAGAAGCCGGGAGCAGCCCTGAAAATGCCACCTGGGAAGAGGTCCTGGAGCCCTGCTACACATGCAGGCGATGGGGGTCTTGGGCAGAGGGAGGGGAAACGCTGCCTTGCCCAGTGGATGCAGAGGGGACAGAGCATCAGAAATGAGAGCTGGACACCAAAAGCAGGGATGACAGAAGCATCCGAGTGAACTGACATAAACTGGGATGGAGTGGGTGCCGAACGCAGCAAGCAGGGTGAGCGGCGGAGGGTGGGCGGAGGCTCAGCCAGCAGGTGCTGGTGTGGTTCAGTGGACAGGCCCGCACTGGACTCCCTTCCCAACTGTGCTAACGTCCAACTCCCAGACTTCAGCTTCCTGAATCATACATTGAAGGTCTGAGCCAGGGGCACCCAGACGCAGCTGCAGAGGGATGCTGGTTACAAGAGGTTAACAGAGTGAAAGTCACAGGTATCCTTCTCAGAAAAAGTGGGCTTAATCTGTCCTCCCAGAGGAGCCCACTGTTTTTTGTTCTTTTGTTTTTTTTTAATTGAGGGGACACAAGTTCTTTGACTTAAAAAGAAATGGTGAAAAGTGTATAAGAGATTGAGATGGGAAGCGTTAGTTGACTTCTACTTGTCTTTCCAGTTGGGATCATTGTCTTTGCCATGTTTAATGCCAGGAAGAGGAAGCTCCACAAACATGATTCTATATGGAAATGTTTGCACTTTCCTCATTTCTTTCCAAATCTATGTCTTTACTTACACTCAAGTCCAAGAGGCTGAATCTTTTTAGGAAAGACAAAAAGAAATCTTACTAAAAGGTAAAACAACCTTAACTGAAATCCTTTTGAGAGTTTGGACAAGGTCTAAAAAAAAACTGCAGAATGAAATCTAACTTTGGCTAAATTTCCAGACTCTACCAGATCACTTTTTTTTACATAAACAATATACAGGTATATAATAACTATTATACATATGATGGTTATGCATAATAATACATACAAAGTCTTGCAACACAGAAGTAAGTCATCATACACGATCTCTCTTAACTTGGCCCAGGAGAGAAGAATATGCTACACAGACCATGATTACTCACAGTCTGGGATGATAAAAGAAAAAGATGGTAACGTACAAACATATACGGAGAGAGCATACGTAAACATCTTATGTCTATCTCTAAATGTCTTACTATGAAGATTCGTGAAGAACAGTCATCATATCTTTGCCCTACAAATGTTCTAATGTAGATGTACGGTAGGTATTCCATAAAACTTTCCTAAGTGAATGAAAGAAATGGGTTTTTGAAACCTGAATGAATCCAGGAGAATTAAATGTAATATTAATGTTATAAGCAAATAATATATTAATAGAGTGGAGTGAAAAAGTAGCAGAAATAAATTGCTCAACAAACATTATCAAGCACTTTCTGGGTCTCATCCAGTACAAATTAAAAGATAGCCCCTCTCCAAATCTCTTGACATTTTTTACCCAGATTGCTTTATACTGATTGTTGTTCTGAAAAATGGTCCTGATTTTTCCTGGCCTGTTGACCCCAACTCTGTTGACTGTGTGCCCCAGAACTTCAGTGAGCAAACTGTCCTACTATTTGCCGATGATTCTGCTTCCTGTTAGAGCTAAAGACCTTCCCTGACAGTCCTGCTTTCCTGAAGCCCCAGCATGAAAGTTGTTCACCTCCCACTGGGGCTGGGGATGGTGGCTCCCCAAAACATCACACTTCCGGCCCCAGGAGAAAGCTCACTCTTGACTGAATTGATGCCCCAGAGCTATCACCTCTTCCCCCTTCTTCCTCAATGGCAGTTCTGTGTGCCAGGCGTTCAAGCTCGCTAAGGGGAAGGATAGGTGAAGTTGAAATGTAGAGCGAGGTCATCCCATTAAGGGCCATACATGCCAGGCGAAGGAAGAATAATTTGACACTGGAGATACTGGGTTATTACTCCGGGTAATTTTAGATTCTTATCTCTTTCAGTAGAAGGATAGTAAATAATCAGGTCTTTCCTGTAGAAAAATAATTCTGGCAAAACTATGGGGAACATGGCGAGGGGAGAGAAAACTAGTTACAGTGTCATTGCTGAAGGCTGAGTG